TAGGAAAAAGCTTTTGCAAGAGAGTAAAAGATAAATTTAGCTGTATCTTAGCCAATATTGGGTCAAAATTCTTCTTTTAGAGCTTGTTTTGACTAGGCAAATGTGTACTACAACTTTAATTAAAGGTATAAGATAAGTTATTACAGTAGAAACTGTGAGAGGATTAAAATATTAAAACTGGAGGCCAAAGGCCATCAGTGCAGTTTTCTCTATGAGTTTAAGAGATAAATTTATAAAATTTCAGGATATATGTAAATTGATGAACTGAACAAGTTTACTTAAGACGCCATGACAGGTTGTTTTAGTAAAATAAAAAGATATAAGTGTTTTTAGACGAACGATTTTTTAGTTAATTTTTGTGTAATGGATTTGCAGAAAGAGTTCTTTTTCTATTATTTTGGTATTAATTTATTTGCACTGTAATACTAAAAAATAATAATAATATATATATTTTTTTTTAATTTTTAATTTTTCTTCTTGAATCTATTGTAATTTTTAATAACACATCAATGTTAGATATTTGCTTTCCAGTTTATACTTTATCACAAAGTTATAGTCTTGTAAAGTTATTATGTATTGCACCATCCTGCCCATAGGATTAGACATATTGTTTAAATAAGTTAAAGTGTTATGATCAGTTATTAAAGTAAATTGAGACCTATGTAAATACTGATAAAATTTTTTCACAGCCCAAATAATAGTAGTAAACTCCAGTTTTGTAATTATATAGTTTTTTTTAGTAGGTTTAGTTGACCAACTGGCATATTCAATAACATGTTCATGTCTTTTATTGTCAAGTTGTGCTAATATTGCATTAAGAGCTATATGTGATGCATCAGTATTTAATAGAAACTCCTTATTATCTCTGGATTTACTAGTATTAGTGCTGTAGTTAGCCTAACCTTCAATTCGTCAAATGCTCTTTCTTGTTCCTTTTTTCATATATAAGGTTTATTCTTTTTTATAAGTTTGTAAAGAGGTGCAGCTACTGAATAGAAATTTTTTATAAACCTTTGATAAAATCCTGCAAGTTCCAAAAACCCCTTAGTGCTCACAAATTCTTTGGTTTTGGAAAGTTTTTTATAGCTGTTAATTTGAATTCAATAGTAACAATTCCTTCTTTACTTATTTCACAGCCCAAAAAACTAGATCTTCTTTTGTTTAAAAAAACACTTATTAGAGTTTAACTTTAAATTGGCTTTGAAGAGTCTAGACAGCACAATACTAATATGATCTAAATGTTTTTCAAAGTTGGAAGAGTATATATTAATGTCATCAATATAAGCCAGCACAAATTTCCACATTTTCTTATTTAGAACTCTATCTATTAGCTTCTGAAATGTTGCAAAAGCATTTGTTAACCCAAAAGGCATCATTATAAATTCATAAAGGCCAAATTTGGTAATAAATGCTGTTTTTTTCTTGGTCATAAGAATGCATTCCTACTTGCCAGAAACTACTTGCCAAATTTAGTGTTGTAAACCAAGTGCAGTTTTTCAAAACACCTAGAAGCTTGTTTATTTAAGAAAAAAAATAGCTATTACATTTTGTTTTTTTGTTTAATTTCCTAAAGTTAATACAAAAACACAGCTTTTCATTCTTTTTCCTTACTAGTACTACTGGAAATGCCTATGGACTATTTGATAAATGAATTAGCCCTACCTTTTTCATTTTTCAAATTTCTTGACCAATGAATTTCTTGACTGATAAATTTTTTGATTGATGAATTTATATTTAGCTTTAAACATAGGGTAAAACCTTTGTTTTATAGGAGGACCTTCATCAGTATGAATTTTGTACTGTATTACTATTGTTTTCCCAAGCTCTTAAAGTTTTTTCATAAAAAGATCTTGATAATTTTTTAATATCTTTTTAAGATGTTGTTCATATTCTTGTAACATTTTTCCAATTTTTAAATATTTACTTGGTTTCTTATTTTCTCCAATAAGGCATACAGGCTACTCATTTGGAATTCACTTTTTTAAAACATCATCAATCTAATTATGCTCCTTCTTCATATAATGTTCATATATACTCTTTATTTTTTTTGCGATTGGGCAAAATTCACAGAACAAAAAATCTTGATTTACAAAGACTTTATTTTTGTACTCATCTAAGTTTGCTTCACTTTTACCAAACTCTTCACTACTTTCATACTCATCATCATCGAATTTGTCTGGCTTTCTATTATTCCTAATTGTTTTTGAACTTTGAATCATGGCTTCTTTTTGTACATGGTCAGCAATGTTTGTAGGTTTACAATATTCTGTCAGGACTTTAATCTTCTTATCATTATCTTTTATTGTCAATTCACAAGTTTTTTAATCAAATTGGGCTTTCACTTTCTTCATCCAATCATTACTAATGATAAAGTATAATTTCCAGTATTGGTTACAACAGCATGTAAAGTTATTGTCTTACTATTTATGGTTATCAAAAACTGATCAATTTTTCTCAAGTCATTTTTTCTTAACATGGATTCTGACTATCAACACTATTGAGAGATGATCAATAGAAATGTTAACTTTTTTTAAGAACCTGGCCAAAACAACACAACCTGATAAACTATTATTCAAAATCAAAATTATTGGTTCTTCATTAACATTAGCTTCGCAATACATTAACATAATATAAAATTCATTGTTTCGCTTTAAACAGAATTCATTAAACTTTGACTTAATAATTCTTCCTGAGCATAATATTTTCAGAACTTTTTTTTGAACTTCAGGTGCTACTTAAAATAATTGAGCATAGATAATGTCTGCTTTTTTATTCTGTAAATCTGACATTATAGAATACAGCTAGATATTGGATACAATTTGTGAATCAATAAGTTTTGACTTTTTCCTTTTAGCAATCTTTTGCTTTTTATTAACTTAGTTCTTTTCCTTATTATTATGATTCTTAGAGAGAATTTCATCATTGTTATAATTATTATCATCCTTTCATTACCTCTTTACTGCATAAGCTTCTTCAATCTTGATTACTAAAGGGTTTTTTGATACTGATGCACACTTACTCTCCAAAGGTGCATCTTTTAGTTTAAATGCTTAAGGTTATATTGTAATTAAAATAATATAGCTTGAGCTCTAGTTCCTTTATTTATTGGTGTATTATTAATATTACTTCTATTATCATTAATATTGTTTACATTAGGCATGAGTAGATTATTCTTATTATTATTAACCAGATGGTTCACATTTGGACACTCTCAAGTGTAATGTCCAGATTGTTGATACAAATAGCACACAGAAAAACAACTGTTTCTATTTCTGTTTGGGCAATAATGACTATTATTACTGCTATTATTACCTTTTATTACTATTATTACTTCTTGTGCAAAGAAATCATCTGCTTCATAGAGTTATTAGTAATACCTGATATATTAGTTAGTGATTAGGAACTCCTAGGATAATTTGTTATTAGCATTTGAGACTGCACAGATATTGCTGAAAGGGCCATAGCATTGCCAGATATTGTATTATATATTGCTGCAGGTCTTTATACAGCTAGGCCATACACAATGGTATTTCACACATTTGAGCCCTATTAATAGCTTCTTGTAATATGTTAAATATAAAAGGTTCTACAGCCAAAGACAGATCAAGATGAAGTTCTTGTATGAACATCTGTGCTTTTATTATTTTGGAGTATTGGTTACCTACTTTCATTACTCACTGAAATAATGCTAACATGTCAGTTGCATATTGATCTACTGTTTCTCTAATATGTTGTTATCATGTTAATAACTCAGTATTCTATTGTGTAATTAAGGCTTGTGTACAGAACTTAAGCCAAAATTAATGTACAAAACTTTGCTCAGAAACATATTTATTATTCCAATACTGAAAATCTGATCTCATATTTTTTTTATTTTCTTACCAAAATGAGCCAAGCCCAAAAGATAAGCTTCAATAACAGCCAAACTTCTCGCTTCCACAATACTATTAGCCTCAAAGGCTCTGCTAACTGTTTCTAACTACTCTATAGAGTTTTGATTACCTTCAGCAAAAACTAGTATGCTTACAAGATTTTATTTTATCATATTTGATTGAGATCCTTGTTGCCTTGCCAAAGTGTTGACCATGTTTGAAGTAGCTGTTTCCATGATAGATTTACATAAGTTGGATTTATCAGTTGTTCAGAATTATCCAATAGCATATTATTATTTGTTGAATTATTGTTGCTTTTAACAGATTTATTATATCCTTTCATATTATCATTACTTGTAAAATTCAAAGTATTATCCTATAGGTTTATATTGCTTTTTAATATTTTATTAACAAGTGATACTCATCTGTTATTGTTGTATCCTTTTTGTATTTTCCTCTCTTTTTTTTTTTTTTTTTTTTTTTTTTTATGTCATTATTTGTATTATCATTGTACTACTATTCCTTTGGGTGACTATAACATAACCAAATTTCATCTCTTGCTTCTTTTGTTCCATTCACACAATCAGCACCAAAAATGTAATGACTTAAGAGAGCTTTACTCTTGTCTTTTAATTTAGCACAGTGTTGTTAGCATTAAAATATGAACACTTTTGAGACTCCCAATCTGAAGGTTCTTGTCTATTTTCAGTGGATTAGTTTTTACAGTAGTACTATCAAAGATCCAGCTACTTTTTTATTTGGACTTCTTAAATAGATTTTTTATTATTCAATTTCAACAGATTTACATAATTACAAGGACTTTTTTAGTGTTTGTACTATCTAGTTGTCAGTTTGCATTTCTTTGTATAATTTTAACATTGTACAGATATCTTATAACCTGCCAGTTATGCTAGTGCAACTGGCATTACAGATATTCTAATTCAATTATTAATAACAGTTGTTATAATATAATTATATAAATAATTATTCAAATTTTTACTGTTAATAGGATTTAAACATCCAACCTACCACTTGGAAGATTGACAACCTGACCAATTCACTAGGTTACTACACTCTATAGTATAATAATTTATAATTATTATGATTTTTTTTTTATTATTAAGAGTGAGACCTGGTCTCAGTCTTTATTGAACAATTTGGTATTACATTAATTAAATTATTTTATATAAATTATTACAGGGACCTATAGCTAGAACTAATTTATCCTTAGCCCAAAACTCTACTAGAGTAAGCTATCAGACCTCTTCTAAATTTAGTATTGCAATGTAGGAGGTAGATATATTTGTAGTATGAAAAATAGTTGCCTATTTTTTATATTTACTTATAGCTATTTAATCTGTAGCTGAATGTTCAGGTACTGTAACAGTATGTGTGTTTGTTAATAAGCTATTTTAATGTATTGCTTTATATCTTTCTATCTATAATTGTTTGTATATATTGTTCAATATTTGCTAAAAATAAATTAGTAAGTAAATATGGAGTAATGTTTCAGTCTGTAGACATGTTGTCAGAAATCAAACCTTGTATTTTGAAAAGAAGTTTTGTAGCACTTTGTGTTTAGATAAACTGCTGCAATAGAGTAGATATATTGCAGCTTTCAAGTTTGCCCTTTATATCAAACTTGTATATAGTTTGTAAATTAGCTGATTAAGAAAGATAGGATTTGCAATGCATTCCAGCCAGTGTAGATTGTCTTCTATGTATAATGTGCAGTGGTTGCAGATAGGGTTAGTATATATTTTAGGTTTTTTGTAATATAGGTTTAGAAGTGTAGATAGCTCATTTAGTAGAAACTTAATTTTGAAACTTTTTAGTTAAGAATGCTTTGGATGAGTATTGTGAGTATTAGGTTTGTTGTTATAGTTGATAAATTGATATGTTAGATCCCAATTAGTATTTTGGTATATAATATTCCAATGACTAGTTCTGTTTAGAGCATTCCATTTTGCAGTATTTGTTGCACTTTGTAAATATCAAATAAAATGACAGATTTTATTTTCGATTAAAGTTCCATTTTAGATAAGGTAGAAGTTGTTATTATAGAGAGCATAAAGAAGGATATAAAGTTTATATTGTTGTGCTTTGATAGAGAGATGGTTTGTTCTGTTGTAAAGAGGGTGGTTATCAGGGTTCTTAATATAGAAAAATTTAATTTTAAAATGTTTGTGAGCAATTAATGTTGGAATTAAGAATTTAAGTGACCAGTAGTTGTGTTTTTGTAAACTAAGAGTATAATTTGATGTTAGTATAAGAAGTGAGTTAATATAGTTAATTGTAGGCTTGTGAGTTATCAGAAAAGTTATTTGATAGTATTGTAAGGTAGTGGTCAGTATTGTTATAATGCTGAGAAGGTATGTTTGAGTGATTGAAGGCCAATATATAATTTAAAAAAAATGTAATATTGGTTGGTGCTAGAGTCTAGGCAAATTGAGACTGTAAGTGTAATATATTTGGTTGGGTTATAGTTGCATGGAAGTATAATTAAAGTTTTTTATCTTATGAATTAATTGTTGTCAGATGTAGCAGCTATGTGCTAGCAGTGTTTGATATAAATAGTTGTTATAAAAAGTTGTTTGATAAAGCTTATATAGTTGGTAAATAAAAGTTATTTTGTAATACTAAGGTAACATTTGAGTGTAGTGCTAGTAATTTGTTTAAATAATGTAGTAGTTTTTGTTTTGTAAAGTATAAATAATGTTGTATTAGGTTATTGATGTTTGTTCAAAAAAATTTTAAACTAAATACTTCAATGGCAGTGCATTGGAATATTTTAAGTATAATTATATATTGCTGACTAGCAGCAGTACAGGTGTATTTGCAGTTTAGACATTTTAAGAGTAGGCTGTATATTGAAGCTCTGGTGGTAGTAAATGATAGTGTTTGATATGTATTGTATTATTTGAGTTAATAATTTTTTGGATTTTTTCTATGATTCAAGTATTATTAACTTTTCCAAGAATCTATATGCTTCTTGTTAATGTTATAGAGTTTGTAGTAAATGGGTTAGAAGTGATAGTAGAAATGTATAGTATGATAGATATATAGAATATGTTGTGTAGTTTATAGAACTATTTTGGAATTCTACCTCTTGGTATTTTAAGTGTTTTATATGCAATGCATTGCCATGAAAGTAGTTGTATATTTGTGTGATTAGTGAGTTGTTCAATAGCATATATATTCATTTTGTTAGTTAGTAATTTAATATGTACTGATTTGTTGCAAAATTTGATTAGTGTGTCAATTGGAGTGTCTTTGTAAATAGTTGATATAGGTCAGAGATTAGGAAGATTGCAAATTTGCATATTAAGCTGATGTGCTGCTTTGATTGTTTGGACTATAAGTGTATTATAAAACTTGATAGATAATATGTAATTAGGTGAAAGCAGAATATTGTTAAATGAAAATGTAGCATTTTGAAGATGTTGAATTATAATTTTGATAGATGGACCTGTTAAAGGATTGTTAAGTTATGTGTGAAGTAATGAAATGTGGTTTTGTATTTGAATATCTTGTAAACTACGAAGGTTATAGATTTGATGATAGAATATAGTTGAGTTTGGTATAATTAAAGCAAAACCAGCTTTGTGTTTTGCAACTTGCATATAAGAATTAGGTATGCCTTGCATTGTAAATTGGTGCATAAATATGTTCATTGTTCTATAAGAAAAGCAAAGTACAAGTATTATATTAATTATATAGATTGTTTGTTTTTCAGTAATCTTTTTGTTTTTTATAGTGTTAATAAGATTAGTAGCTTTAGTAATAATTTGATTATGAATGTGCTTATAGTAATTCAGAAGTGTAAACCAGCAACCAAGATAGCAAAAGGTATGCTTTAGAGGTATAGTATGTATGGTTGTATTGGCAAAGTTGATTATAAAGTTTGGATCTGTAGTTTGATTTGTTGCTAAGATTGATTTGATAGAATTAACAGTAATGTTAGCTATGTTGTAAAAGGATTCAGCTGATTTCACTATTTGTTGAATGGTTTGTTTATCAGAAGCTAGCTATAGGGTGTCATCCATGTAGGCAAGTACTAAGGTATGGTAGGTAAGTAGATGTTTAGTCTAGGTTGGAGTTGTTGACATGCCATAGTCATGAAATTTGAAATAAATATAAGTTATTAGTAGATCATAATAGATAAATCAGAGCAATAATGTAATTATTTCTTCTTGGTCTATGCTATCTTACACCTAATAGCTAGATGTAGGACCAAGATTTGTAATAACTGAATTATATTGGTTGTTGTAAATATTAACTATAAGTTGTGATATGTTTTGGAGAATTTTTATTTGGTTTAGTGCATATTGTAAAAGTGAAATATGTACAAAGTCATATGTCTTGCTCATGTCTTGAGCAAGAAGCCAGATTTCTTTGTTTTGTGTTTGTGTTTCTTGAAGTATGTTTGTAAGAATTTGGATAGGTTGTGTAGTAGATGAATATGGCAGAGCAACAAAGTTATATGGATTGAGAATAGAATATTTAGACATTATTTTAGTAAATCTGTTAGTAATGATTTTGGTAAAGATTTTTCATATATGTTCAAGAAGAGTTATAGGTCTGGTGTAATTGAGTTGGCCTGTAAAGATAGGTTTTTTGGATATTAGATATATTTTGCTTTGTTTCCAAGCAGTTGGTCTTTCTGAAGTATTTAAATATTTGTTAAACAGAATTGTAAAAAGTTTAATGATATGTGGATGAACATGTTTGAGCATTTCATTAGAAATGAGTGTGAGTTCTGTTGCTTTTTTGTTTAGTAATAGATTAATTGTACTGATAATTTTCTGTTAGATTATAGAGTCTGTTAGTATATTGTACTATAAGAAGAGTATGTTGGTTTTTGGAGTATATTCACTTTTCTATTGTTCCCAGAGAGCTGGATTGTATGAATTATGTTTAGTCCAGTTTGCAAAGTGTGTTTGATGTGTTGGCAGATCTCTTTTGGCTTTGTGATTATAGAGTTCTGAAGTTTTATATTATCAAATAACACAGGATCTGTGTAGTAATTAATTATACTGTTAATCATAGTTGTTGTATTTAAAGTAAAATTGTTGTAATGTATTTGAACATGTTGTGTAATTTGTTGTGAGATTGCCTGTTTGTTTTCTGAATTATAAGTATGATATATTGTTTTACAATGATTTTTTATTGTATTAATGGTAGTAGAAAGTTGGTTGAGGTTAATATCAGTTATACTAAAGAGTATAATAGATAAGTTTATAAGAAGATGTATGGTTTATATTTTTTGGTTAATAGTATTAACTATTGTAATATTAGTTAAGTCACTATTATAAGAAGAGTGTTGAAGGTTGACAAAAGTATGGAGTATACTGCCACAAATATTAAGTGCAGAATGTGTTTTTGAAGCAGTAGGTGAGAAGCTTTGAAATTGTTTTTGAGAGTAAAAGGTAAAAGGTATATATGTGTTTGCTGCAGTAAGCACAATAGATTGGATTTGGTGTTAGAGTTAATTTGTTATAAGTGCAAAGGCTGCCACTTCAGTAAGAGAAGATAAAAGTTGATGGCTTTTTTG